ATCATAGTAGGCTATTTTCAAAAAAATATCGATTTTATATCTATATTAGCATTCTTTATCATTTATAATGCCTAGATATGTTTTAAAATGCAATTTAAAGCATTTTTGGTTTCGATCATAGTAGGCTATTTTCATAAAATCGATTTTATGTCTATATCAGCATTCTTTATCATTTATAATACCTAGATATGTTTTAAAATGCAATTTGAAGCATTTTTGGTTTCGATATTAGTAGGCTATTTTCAAAAAAATCGATTTTATGTCTATAATAGCATTCTTTATCATTTATAATACCTAGATATGTTTTAAAATGCAATTTGAAGCATTTTTGGTTTCGATCAAAGCAGGCTATTTTTAAAAAATCGATTTTATGTCTATATTTGCATTCTTTATCATTTATAATATCTTATTAGAGTGAGCTGAAGTGGCTCGGTGGCGGAATGGTTTAGTACTTCGTTACCTAATTATTGCAATACCGACAAAGCGATCATGGGTTCGAGACTGGGTATGGGAAATTTTTCACTTGTTCTTTTTCGAATCATATGTACTGGAAATGAGGCTCACAGCCTTCCTTTGTAGGCTACAGACAGAAATGTCATCAAAGGAGTGGTTCGGATCCCACTATAAATTGTAGGTCTAGGTTTGAGTGCAGTGGTTTGGCGCATCCTCACTCGTTAAACTCTCATTAGCTGCGAATCGCCCTAGCGCACCTCTGGATCACAATTGATCTGAATAGGTAAAGGTTTTTTTTTTTTTTTTTTTTATATCTTATTAGATATGTTTTAAAATGCAATTTAAAGCATTTTTGAATTTGATCATAGTAGGCTATTTTCAAAAAAATATCGATTTTATATCTATATTAGCATTCTTTATCATTTATAATGCCTAGATATGTTTTAAAATGCAATTTAAAGCATTTTTGGTTTCGATCATAGTAGGCTATTTTCAAAAAAATCGATTTTATGTCTACATTAGCATTCTTTATCATTTATAATACCTAGATATGTTTTAAAATGCAATTTGAAGCATTTTTGGTGTTGATGGTAAGCTATTTTCAAAAAAAATCGATCTTATGTCTATATTAGCATTCATTATCATTTATAATACCTAGATGTGTTTAAAAATGCAATTGAAAGCATTTTTGGTTTTGATCATAGTAGGCTATTTTTAAAAAAAATTATATCGATTTTATATCTATATTAGCATTCTTTATCATTTATAATACCTAGATGTGTTTAAAAATGCAATTTAAAGCATTTTTGGTTTTGATCATAGTAGGCTATTTTTAAAAAAATTATATCGATTTTATATCTATATTAGCATTCTTTATCATTTATAATACCTAGATGTGTTTAAAAATGCAATTTAAAGCATTTTTGGTTTTGATCATGGTAGGCTATTTTTAAAAAAATTATATCGATTTTATATCTATATTAGCATTCTTTATCATTTACAATACCGAGATGTGTTTAAAAATGCAATTTAAAGCATTTTTGGTTTCGATCATAGTAGGCTATTTTCAAAAAAATCGATTTTATGTCTACATTAGCATTCTTTATCATTTATAATACCTAGATGTGTTTAAAAATGCAATTGAAAGCATTTTTGGTTTTGATCATAGTAGGCTATTTTTAAAAAAATTATATCGATTTTATATCTATATTAGCATTCTTTATCATTTATAATACCTAGATATGTTTTAAAATGCAATTCAAAGCATTTTTGGTTTTGATCATAGTAGGCTATTTTTAAAAAAATTGTATCAATTTTATATCTATATTAGCATTCTTTATCATTTATAATACCTAGATGTGTTTAAAAATGCAATTTAAAGCATTTTTGGTTTTGATCATAGTAGGCTATTTTTAAAAAAATTATATCGATTTTATGTCTATATTAGCATTCTTTATCATTTATAATACCTAGATCCACCTAGATGTGTTTAAAAATGCAATTTAAAGCATTTTTGGTTTTGATCATAGTAGGCTATTTTTAAAAAAATTGTATCGATTTTATATCTATATAGCATTCTTTATCATTTATAACACCTAGATATGTTTTAAAATGCAATTCAAAGCATTTTTGGTTTTGATCATAGTAGGCTATTTTTAAAAAAATTATATCGATTTTATATCTATATTAGCATTCTTTATCATTTATAATACCTAGATGTGTTTAAAAATGCAATTTAAAGCATTTTTGGTTTCGATCATAGTAGGCTATTTTCAAAGAAATCGATTTTATGTCTATATTAGCATTCTTTATCATTTATAATACCTAGATGTTTTAAAATGCAATTTGAATATTAGCATTCTTTATTGTTGTAATTAATAATTAAGAACTGTGGAATCAAAGTAGTACTAAGTTAATTAATGATTTATTAAGTCTCTTATAAGTTATTAGTCCGAGGTTAAAACTACCGAGTGTAACCTATCTTAGTAGCGACCTCTATAAGTAAAGTCATTACTTCAACACTTCTCCTTGACTTTAATCTTCTCTTTAGTTAGTCAACTATGTTAGCTTTTTGCCTAAAATAGTTGATCTTCGTTGGTCCCAATGGTTTCGTCAGTAAATCAGCTACATTGTCTTTAGTCGAACAATAATGCAAATTCAGTTCTCCTTGTTCATTCATTTCTCTAATGAAATGATATTTTGTATCAATATGCTTTGTTCTGTTGCTGAACTTCTCATTTGGGCAATTCCATGGATGAGTGGAATTTATCAAAAATGAGTTGTAATTCTTCTCGAACTTGATGGTTCAAAATTTTTTAAATCTATTTTAACTTAATATTAGCTTGGCAAAAATTAATTAAACATTCACATTATCATCTATATTTATGTAAAAAACATTCTAATCTGGCAACTGGTTGTTAATTACAGTACATTTTCCTTTTTTTAAAAAATCATTTTCTCACGGATTTGGGAAATAAACGCTTTGAGGTCGCCCTATTTCAATTATTGATTTACAATTTTTCATTATTCAGCTAATTGGCTGGCTATTATCTAAATTTAAGTATACAGGATTATAAAGGAAAACAAAATGTACACAAGATTAGCAATGAATATTTATTATTATTATTATTATTATTATATTTATTGTTGTCCTGATTTCTAGAAAGTGTATAATTCTTGCTTAAAAAATAAGAATTCCACTTTTTGAAATAGGGCGACCGTCACAAAAATCCAAATATTTCGTTAATTAAAGCATGTAAAAGGAAGAAATAAAGATATTTAAGTATATTTCATTGATTTACATACTCATAACTAGTTATTGGATTGTCTAGATAGCTCATTTTTGAGAAAAATTAGTTTAAAGTCGAAATTTTTGGAAAATTACATCCGTGGAATTGCCCATTTTTCATATAATTTTTTATGTGAACTAAAATCACTCAAAAAACTCTAAATATAACGTTTTATCGCATTTTTAATGGTTTTTAGGCATTAAATAACAATTTTAGATAGTTTAGGGTCAAAAAAAATTTTTAAATTTTTTTAAAAAAAATCATTTTTTGCTCCTGACCTTTTGTAAAAGGGATCATTATAATCCTTTATGATAGATCAGTATTCACAGACCTTTTGTAAAAGGGATCATTACAATCCTTTATGATAGATCAGTATTTATGGACCTTTTGTAAAAGGGATCATTATAGTACAGTTAGTTGAGTTTTCCGAATGTATCCAAGTTTAATAAAATAAGTTAAATTACACTACAAAATATAAATGAACTCAACATCTTCATCACCATCAGATTTTTGACCCTAACCTACCTAAAATTGTAGGTTCATGCCTAAAAACCATTTAAAATGCGATAAAACGTTATATATAAAGTTTTTTGAGTGATTTTAGTTCATATGAAAAATTATATATTGGCCCACCCTAAAGTGTAGTTCAGCCTAAATTTGAATCTCTGAACCAGAGATCGAAGCCGATTTTTTCGGCTTAACTCAATTTTTGATTTTTTTGATAGAAAAAAGCCATTTAACACCCATTTTAAGGATTTAAATTGAACTTTACATCTTTACGATTTTAAGCCGATCGGCTTAAATTTCGGCTTAACATTCTTTAACTTGAAATTCTGAGCTCACTATAGCTACATGCTGAAAAAATATTTCACAGAATCATAGTAAAGCATGTAAAGTTCAATTTAAATACTTAAAATGGGTGTTAAATGGCTTTTTTCTATCAAAAAAATCAAAAATTGAGTTAAGCCGAAAAAATCGGCTTCGATCTCTGCTCTGAACATTACCTGAACAATTTTTAAAGCGGTAGAAAAAAATTCAAATTTTTAAACGTACTCATCACGTGGTTTTGTTTATGAAATAAAAAAATAATTAATTATAGTATTTATCCATTGTTTTACGCTTCGAAGATAATCTTAAAGCCAATAAAACAATGGACCAGAGCTAATAAAACAAACTAGAGCTCTCTACGATGTCTGGTTAATGAGATCTCAAAACCAGCGGAGCAGCCGATCGAAGTGAAGCAAGTTTCAAAAATGCGCTAAAAACGTTCATTTATTTATTTCAAACTTAAAGTTGTGTTATAAATTTATGGATATTATTTTTTGTAGAAAGAAAAATGATAGCTAACTTATTAAATTCAATTTAATTCATTTTAATTAAGTAAGCATCACAATATTTTTCATAACAATGCTCTCTCAGACGATTCTTTATAATTCTCAATGAGTGAAAAGTTTTTATTTGCTGTGGCAGATCATTGAAAATTTTTTAAAAAAAATAACACTACGATTAGTTTTAATTTTTTTTTCATCAATTCTTGGTAGGTCTTCGAAAAAATCAAAAACACCGCTACAGTAATTAAACAGTTTTGTAAAACAAATAACTTATTTTTATTAAACTTTTTCATTCAACCTATCAAAACATCATAGTTAACATTCATATATATATATATAAATATATAAAATTATGAATATTATTAAATATATATTCAAATCAAAAGGCAGAATAAATTCAAAAACACACCAGTAACTAAGCATTACATCAAATATTTGACTTCGTTCCAACTTTTTTCTGGCTTGTAGGAGGTTTTGTCTGAAAAAGAAAAGTTGTATAAAAAAACTAATATATTAAATATTTATTATATTTATCAATATTTATAATTTAATATTTATGACTCATGGATTGAGTAAACGATAATTATTCAATAACTTTACCTTTGGTAAACTTTCTTGAATTGTCGTATTTGGTAGAAGTGTTGATAAAGATCCTGGTCTTTGGAATGAATCATTTAAATTCTTCTCCTGACTTCCAGCTCTGCTTGTGCTTCCAGAACGTTTGAATATACCGGAAATTCTTTCTTTGAAATCTTTTTTGCTTGTTCGAACATCCCCTGCTAGGCTTACATCTGAATCTGACAATTGATGCTATTTTAAAAAAAAAAATTAAAAAAAGTGGTAATTTTAATTCCAATTTGTCGAAATACAAAATTAAAACTTACTGATATATCACTCTCCGTTCCTCTAGTACTTTTAGTGAGACTTCTTAATTTTCCCATGATTCCTTTTTTCTTTTTTCTTCTATTCGGCATATCACTTTGAGTTGAACCTACTGATAAACGAGAATCTATACTTGAATCTCCACGTCTTATACTATATTCAGAATCGATTGATTGCACAGATGACATTGAACCAACATCGCTATCCTTCCATATTTGTTGATGCTGCTCATTTTGAATGGATTGATCTAGTGATAAACTCTTTCTGTATAAACTGTTTTGAGTCAATCTACTTAATCTGGCAATAGGTCTGTTAGCATTCACTTCTAAACCATTTTCATGCTCTTGTGATGCTGCTCGTCTCATCCCACTTCTTCTTACTTTTTCCCTTTCTTTTTCTTCGTCATATAACCGCTGATTTTTCCTAAGTTCTTCGGATGCAGATGCTAATTTTGCTAATACTGTTGATATTTGTGTAGCTGAGTTTAGCGTAGGAGATGGACTTCTACTTTTACTTCTACGAGGGGGGTTTGGAATGGATAGAGACTGCAAAAAAAAGATATTATTTTTATCTTAAAAAGAATAAGCATTTTTAGTTACTGTGTATGAAGTAAATTGAGCATCTTTTGAAAAGGTATGTAAATTCGGTGTGATCTTTATAAGCTCATCAACAGTTTGCAATAGAACAGCAACTTTTTTCTCTGTAATCAAATCATATTTTCTTTTGTTATTTGAATCACGCTCTTTCTCATATCGATCTCGATCACGGCGAATTTTTTCATTAGCAGTTCTCAGCTTTGCATGAGCATCTCTCAGTTCAAGTAAATCACTCTGTAGCTCTGAAATTTTTCTTCTCCCTTCTTCAAGTTCTTCTTCAGTAGACTTCTTAACTTGTTCGACTTTTCGCCGTAATTCTAGACGTTCCTTATCACGTTCTCTTTCAACTTCAAACAATGTTTGTCGTAAATCTCTAGCTAATGTTGCAGTTTCTGAAAGGAGCCTCTGCTGTTCCTCTCTTTCTTTTTGCCAAGATAACTCCAATCGCGTTTTAGTACCAGGAACTTTCGATTTTCCTAAAATTCTGTCTTCTTCATATTCATTGAGTTTTGATTGCATTTCAGATATTTTTATTTGAAATGCACTTTTTTCTGAAATTAGTTCCGTCTTAAGTTTACTAGCATCCAATCTTAATTCACTAAGTTCATCCTCAAGACATCCGATTTGTTGTTCAAGACCGTTGATTTTAGATTTGTCATCCTCATCTCCACTTGAAGTAGATATATAGTTTTTCCGATTTTGCTTAAATTCACTAATATTTCGCTGAGCGGCTTCAAATAACTGTTTATAAGAGTCTTTATCTTTTTTGAATCGTTCACATTGACGATGCACTGATGTTAGTTCATTTTGCAGAGTGTTCAACTGTGTTTCATATCGAAGCCTCGTACTTGCGACTTCAGCTTTAACCGCCATTTCTGAAGCTTCTAATCTATAGAAAAAAGTAATAAATATTAAAAAGTGTTTTGTAATTTGTTTGATATATATTATTTTTTCATTCATAATCTCGAGGCTATAGTCATTTTGAGAATATTTTCGTCAGCTATGAAGAGAAAGCTAACGCTTAAAATTTTAAATTATAAAAATAAGAAGAGATATTTTTAATTCTCATAAAACAGGCTCGGTCTAACCGAAAACCTACATATTTTAATGATGGACTGGATTGGATAATCGATTATTCAGTCTAGAAATAATAATTAATGTTAATATAGGCAATATATTACTTTGATTTTAATTTTTTGAGCTCGTTTTCAAGAGTTGTGTTGTGATCGTTCAAAGTTCTTTGTGCTTTATTAATTCTTTCAAAATCATCTAGTTTTCTTTTTATATCGTCATTTTCTTTGCGTGCATTTGAAAGTTGATCTATAACCATTTCATGTTGTTTCAATATCTTTTCATATTCTGCCTTCATTTCCTCTAGTTTGACCTTTAAACGTGTTTTTTCTATTTCATGCGATGCTGTTGATATTTTCGATAGTGAAGAATGTTCATTTTCATTTAATTTTCTTTGTAATGCAACAATTTTCTTTTTAAGCTCGTCCTTTTCCAATCTTTCTTGTGCATCTTGTGTCTCAATTAACTTTATTTTACAAGATAGTGATTTTATTTCATTTTCAAGTTTTTCTTTTTCAGTCGTCAATTGAGCCTTAATAAGAACATGTTCCTCTTCTAAAAGTTCATATTGTCCTTTGAGGTGCACATTTTTTTTTGTTTCTTTTGATAAGCTTTCTTCTAAATTGTGCTTTTCATTTTGGATTTCTTGGAATCTTTTCGAAGTTGTATCTACTTTTATTTTATTATTTAATTCAACAATTTCTTTCTTCAAAGTATTTATAGTCGCTTCTGATGATTTTTTAATGCTCTGGTAGGAATAATTCGTAATATCAATAATTATTGTTAGAAAGAAAGTTAAATTATTTTATCAATAAATGCCCTTGCGCCAAAATGGCCAGACTTTTGCATGATTTTCTCCCATTTGACCGACTTTGCAAGATATTTGAACGACAATGGACGATTTTTCCAGACATTTTATGAAAAAGAAATCTCTCATTTTCTTGATCTCTAAAGTTCATAAAAAATTACAGATTTTGGATAATTTTTTGGACAAATCTGTCATTCAATAGATGAGAATTGTTAATAATATTATCTCCCGTAAATAATATAAAAATACAACGAATATGCTTTGATAAAGGCAAAATTTTAGAGCTATTTGCTTGTTGATTCGCATTTTGATGCTAATCAAATACTGATCGCTCCGTCAAAAATTCGCTGAAGTCCCTCGATAAAAAAACATGAGGACTTTTGTAATTTTTTAAATAATTTAAAATTGTTTTTTGTTTTTTTTTTACGTTAACATGTTTTACAATCTCTATAATAATAATAATAATAATAATCTCTAGTTAGATTATTAATTCGGAAATCACCTTCAAAATATTTTTTACATTTTACGTTATGAACTGAAAGAATTTAAATTAGATTGAATTTCTTAACATATAAAAAATAGTAAAAAATTTAAAAGATCTTTAGCAAAACTGTAGACGCACTTTACAAGAAATATTTTTCAGTCAAAAAACTATTTTGGAAGGAGGTACCCTTCAATAAAAACATCCAACGCACCTACTTCCCCGTCTAGACTTTATACTGGCTGTGCCCATTAAAGGTTGAAAATGTGAAACTTAATTATGTCTTTTAACCATTTCATAGATATATAATTTCAGATAGCGGTGGCTCGGCAGAAAAGTACAAGATTTCAACAAAATTCACAACTAAGCGCTCCTCAGTTCAAATCCCAAGACAAATCTGACATAATCTGACAATAATCGTTTGGGTAAAAAAGAATAGAAATAAATAAAGTTGCTTGTAAGTATATAAGAAAAAAAAATCAAAAATCGTTCGAAATTCTGGCAAAAAATCGGTCCGATGAAAAAAATCGGTCAGACAAAGTGCCATTTTCTGTCGTGCATGAAAAAATGTATGAAAAATCTTTCAAAGTCTAGCAAAAATAGATCTCGGGCATAAATATGGCATTGTCGTCAAAAAATCTTGCCATTCTGGCTCAAGGGAAAAGAAACGTTTGAAAAAAAAAATAAAAAAAAAACAAAAAACCTACCAACAAACTATTTTCCATTTTAGTTTTTTCTGTTTTATTTTTTTCTATTTCTCTCTCTGATTTAAGTAACTTATTACTTTGTTCCTTTACTTGTTGTTCCAAAGTTGTTTTAATGATTTCGTTTTGAGTAATCTGAAACAAAGAATGAGTTGGTGGTTATTCTTCGAGCTTTCACTTATTACGTTCACACTTTAGGAGGAAATTTTTTTCTATACCATATGAAAGTGTCAATCAAGTAGAACGGTGAACCTAACGAATTAAGTGATGTACTTACTTACTTACTTATTACTGTAACTATGTTCCTATGTGGAACTTAGCTTACAACAAAAGGCTTTCCATCTGAGTCTGTTGCTGGCTCTGTCACCTAGTTTGTACAACTTCTCTACACCAGGGCGTCTTTTCCCTTGTGGATTCTAACCAAGGACGGTGTTACTAACTTGTTTTTCTGTCTCAGCAATGACATTCTATCATTCTATAAATGATCTCTGGCATCTTTCTTACGAAAAGTATGTACAATGCAGTCTTACTTCCTCATCTTAATCTACTTGTTGATGTCTTGCTGACCTGCTTTCTCTAGAAGGCTTGTGGATTTCCAGACATTAAAAAGGTTTGCAAAAGCCACTCTTGCCTTCTGTATCTGCATATTTACGTCCTTCAGTGCACCCCAATCTGCTGACTTGTTGCTACCAAGATATGAAGTGCTCAACACGATTGATGGTTTCGTTGCCAATATGCAATGGTCTGTTGTTTCTGGCATTCACTCGAATCTCCTCAGCCTTCTTGATGTTTATAATTAGTACGATTTTCACCGATTCTGATTCAAGATCATATAAGCTCGCCTGCATGTCCTGATGTATGTGTGCTAACAGACATGCGTCTTCTGCATAGTCGAGGTCCTCTAACAGCTCCGTCTGCGTCCATATTATCCCTCTAGGCTTGTTCTTTGTAGCCGCACGCAAGACCTTGTCCATGATGACAAGCAATAATAATGGAGATAGCGAGTCTTCTTGCCTAACTCCTGTGAGGGAAATGAATGACTCCGAGGTTCCATCCAGATGCACTCTCGGTTGATTGAGTCAAATGATTTCTCGTAGTCAACAAAAACGAGATAAAGTGCTAATTGCCATTTTATCGACTGCTCAACAATAATCCTTAAAGTACTGATTTGATCAATGCACGATCGATATGGTCGAAAACCAGCTTGTTCTTTCCTCAATCGCGTCTCGATTAGTTCCATTAACCTTTGTAGGATTACTGACATGAACACTTTACTCACAACTGATAAGAGGGTGATTCCTCTCCAGTTTCCACAGCTATTTAATTCTCCTTCTTTAGGAAGCTTTACAATAAGTCCCTCCTTCCAATCCTGCGGGTCGCTTCTTTGCCATTCTTAAACCGCTTAACTGCTTCTGTTATCTCCTTGATGCTAGGTGACTCCATGTCAATACGCAGTAAAGGTCGATCGCCAACTTCTTCTGCACAAAGTGATCCTTCCACCTAGCTAGCTGTTCCTCAAGGGTGACTAAGATATTGCCCTTCTTTGTCTTGATTGGTGCCTGCTCTTTGCTGATTGTCCACCAAGCTCTTTGATGGTGTTGTAAAGGTCTTTCATGTTTCCACACTCAGCAGCTGCTTGCGCTTTCTCAGCCAAACAATTTAGATGCCGCTTGCAATCACTTCTAACTTCCCTCTTGACTTTCCTGTCCAATGCAGAATACTGCTGACATAGTTCTTCATCATTCAACTCCATCGCACTCAAGAGTTTTACATACACTTCTTTCCTTTGGTCAATGATTTTCCAAGTGTTCTCCTGGATGTATTTCTCACTTTTCCTTTCGATTTCCCTAATTCAGTATCACAGGTGTTTAAGATACTGTCTCTGATGTGTGTCCATCTGCCTTCGATTGTGCTGTCATTGCAATTCAAGACTTTTGCGTTGAGTGATGATACAAATCGGGACCTTGCTTCAGCAGCTCTAAGTTTTGTGAGGCAAAACTTCTTCCTTGTGTTCGTTGCTTTCTTTTTCCTTTTCAAATAAGTTTTGAAAATAATAAAGTTTTCCGATTATTAGATGGTGAACAGATCAAACATCGGCACCCTTTTTGTTGTGAACATCCAACAGTGCCATGCTCCATCTCTGGCTGATACAAATGTGGTCAATCTGATTGCGATCGCGGTGATTCGGAAAGTTCCACGTGATTTTGTGACAAATTGTGACTGCTTCATAAGTCAATGAAAAATTCACGATTCTCATTCTTTGTTCCAAGTTCATGCTTGCCCATATAATTTTCCACTTTCTCATTGAAACTACCTACTTTGGCGTTGAAATCTCCCATTAAGACCACCATATCCTGCTTCGGAATGTTTGCCAATGTCTGATCTAATTGACTATAGAAAGCTTCAAAATCACATGTTTTGTTTCAGAGGCCAAAAAAAGTGTCAAAACAATGAAAATTTTGATAATTTTTTTACAAATTTTTCCTCGATTCTTAACTTTTTAGCGCATTTTTGAAACTTGTTTCAAAAATGTAGCTTAATAACTTGCATGCTTGCTTACAGAAAGCGTATTTTGCGATTTTCTCAGCAATGCCGCAACCAGTTTGAACCAGTCTGTTTTTTCCAGAAGATGTGAAATTTCAGGCACCAACTTTTCATCTTTGGACATGTTCAGCTATCTTGCTCCATTTCCTCGCAAAATTTGAAAAACTGTTTTTCAATCTGAACAAAAACGATACATTCACAAATGAATATGGTGTGAATATAAAAATTATAAAACGCTACAGCTCTACCATTTCAACTACAGTTTATAGTTATTAATAAAGCATTTTAAAAGGATGCCAAAGACACCATAAAAACTCTTCTATACCAGAAAACCAATTTATCGAAATTTTAAAATTTAATAAAGTTATGATTACTTACTGTTTGTTCTTGTGCTGCTATTTTATCTTCGAGTTTCTTCACCTTCGTACTATTTTGTTTGTTTTCATATGCAATAGCCGTTTGTAACCTTGTTTCTAAATCTTTTGTAAGACTTGTATTTGTGTTTTCCTTTAATTCTTGGCGAAAATAATGTCGGAAAAAAAATATAAAATTGATAAATATATGTATAATATGAGTTTCGAGTGTATTTTTACTTAGTTCACTTGTGCATGCTTCTAAACGAGATTGCAGGTGACAAATTTCTTCCTTTAGTATGTTATTTGTTTCTTCTTTCTGCTTTTGTTCATTACACACACATTTTAATACAATCGTCCGCGTTTCTAAAATTTCGTTTTCCAATGAATCAATCATTTTCTTAAATGAATAATAATAAAAAAAGTACATTTAAAACAAATTATTTTAAAACTAATGTTTGAAAACAAACCTTTAATTGAAATTTAGTTGTTAAATCAGAATAAATTTTAGGTGTTCTTTCAGGAAGATTAACTCCATCAGATTCTAAGAGTTCTGGTTTTATTTTCAATTGCTCGTTTTCATTTTTTAATTTTTCTGAAACATCTTTTAGAGTTTCACTTTCCTTGCTGTTAGTAACAGCGTTTGATAATTTCATGAATTTTTTCGATGTTTGAATCTGATTTTTTTTTATTTCCGCTAATAGTTTATAATTTTCTTGTTCAAGACTATTAACCTTAGTACGAAGGATATTTGTCTCTTGTTCTGCTACTTTCAAATCATTTTTTAAACCACTATTTTGTGTGTCAATTGATGTAAAATCATCTTGGGAAGATCTACTTTGTTTGTATATTCAGAAAATAAGCAATTATATATGTAGGTTCAAATAGTTGTTTTTATACTTGTCCACTTTAAGCCAGTAAGTTTGAAAAGTTTACTCATCAAAAAGTTCAAGATTTATAGAGAATTTTTTCTTACTTAATAGACTTGGATCAAACTCAAATGTAAACAATGAAACTATTTCATGGAATTGCCAATATACTTTCATTCAAAGGATTCAAGGTTACAATCATATAATTCAAATTGCGGGTTTATTATAGACTTTTGAGCTTAGTTTGTGACGACTGAAGATAGAAGATTTAATATTATATCATTCTTTACACTTTTTTGATCAAAAGATTTTTTGAAAAATCAAACATGTAAAAAAATTGTTCCAAGGAATTACCCTTTTTTGTTTTAAATCTTTAATCAAACTAATAGTTTAAAGTGGAAATAAATAAATTGTAATTATGCAAAAATACCTTAATTTAGACATGACGTTTTTTGTTTTATTTGTGTTTTTTGTTAAGGATGATAAAGAACAAACATCATCGTCTTTTTCTGAAAGCTGATTATTTCTGTCGTTTCCTAAATAATCATTTACTAAATTTTTAGTTCTAGTAGAATTTTTAAACGGCGGAAATTGATGAATATTAAATTTTTCGTGCATCTCTTCAATTTGTCTTTTGTTAAATTCATTTTCTTTTTCCAAATCCTCAACTTTTCTTCTTAAAACTGCTGTTTCCTAAAATAAATTGGTAATGTAATGGGTCCATTCACTTATTACTATGCTTTCTCAATTTCTCGGTCTCGACTAATTCTCGATAATAATCTTCAGGATTATCCTAGGATAATCCATACACTAAAAATAATTTTTCGCTATATTCACTACAAAATAAAAAGATTTTTCTCAAACTCGTTTGATCATTATTAACCAATTAATTCTACATCAGGAAAAATTATTTAGATTTTCTGCGCATCGAAGAAATAGATAATCCGAAAATGAGGATCCACCTTTGTGAAATCGGCCGCTTGTTATTTTCCTTACTAAGCGATCGGAACTTGAAAAATGAGGTGTCAAATTTTTTCAAATTCGGTTTTTAATAGGTTTAATCAGGTTTTCGTTAATTAATTTTGCCTGGCCAAAATAATATTGCTGATTGTAATTTTTTTAAAACTGGATAGAAATCGGTTGAATGCTAAGCAGTGCATTGTAAAGCTGACTAAAAAACGGAGTTTTACGGTGTACTAGGCTCAAACTATGATAAATTTTCGGATATTTAGTTCATTTCAAATTCATGTTTTTCGTTTAAAATTCAATAAATCATAAAACTTTCATTACCAAATAATTTATTAACATAATTCCTCACAAAAAGAAGAACATTTATCACAAATTTTCAGGAAAAGCTCTAAAAATTATCATTTATAGGTACTCAAACTAGTGTATCGGGTAGAAACCCAATGCGGATATATTCACACCATACTATCAAAATTCTTCGCTCAGCAAAAGTTTCAAGGTATAAAGCTAGCGAGTCAGCTGAGCTTCTCTCAGCATAAGTTTCAAGGTATAAAGCTAGCGAGTCAGTTGAGCTTCGCTCAGCATATGCTAGACAACAATATCTCGAAATGGTTTGAGAATTAATTGATTTGAGCTTAAAACAAGCGGAAACGGAGCAAAAAATGATCAAAAATTTTCAAAAATTACATACTAATAGGTAGACTTTTAGACCTTGTGGACTATCGTATCAATAAAATTATCTGAAACTTGGCATAATTATTTTTCAATACTAGATCTATTTAAAACAAAAACTGCAGCTTCTAACATGGTTACAATTTTGAGATATGATAGAAAAATAGGTTCCAAAAACGTGGATTTTTTCGATTTTCAAGATGCTATAGCAAGTCATGGTAAAGTCAAAACATAGTGATATGGGGTATTTTTGTATAGCTCTTGAAGAAGACTAAATATAATATCCAGTTGGGGGAGCAATTTTTGTTGGAAAAATTTTTGTTGGAACGGAATTATTTGGAACGGATTTTTTTGGAAATATTCATTTGGAAAATAATTTTTTGGAAGTGAAAATATTTGAAGCGGAATTTTTTGGAATTTTATTTATTGGAAAATAATTATTTGGAACATAGTTTTTTGGAATATAATTTTTTGGAAATTAATTTTTTGGACGTGGAAACATTTGGAACGGAATTTTTTGGAATTCTAAGAATTTGTAAATAAAATAATTTCAGGTAAAAAGTGTTACAAAAATTAAAAAATTACAGAAGTCCCCGTGTTATTGATCGAGGGACTTAAGCGCATTTTTGTGGCAGCGATCAGTATTTAAATAAAAAATAACAAAATGCAAATAATTTAACATTTTGCTTTTAGAAGATTTAAATTAATTACATGTCCTTTTTTACAAATTTTGTATGCTGAGTGCGTAATTTGCAATTAACGTATTACGTACGTTATTTAATATAATTAAAAAAGCTTTTTGAATAAAAGTATACAAAAATGCGCTAAAAAAATATATATATAGAAAAATCTGAACTCGAACCTTTGACAATGAATTGATAAATCTTTCTTAGTTTATCTAATTAAGACATTTCCAGTATTTTTATAATTTTTTTGTTCATGACAAAAGGATGTATGAGTAATGTCGTTGACAACGACAGACTTATTTAATTTAACTCGATTTATCTATAACGGTTTTTTTGAAATTTGAATAGTGTTACATTTTTTGTGAGTGCCTATTAAAATAACGAATTTTAAAATTTCGAAACTTCATTTTTACGAACTCTCATTTTTACGACCATATCATTTTTACGAAAAATTATTTTTTCGACTTTTTTATAAATTTCAAATTCTAAAATGTCGTTAATTTCATCACGTGTTCTCTTCAATAATAAATCTTCAAAAAAAAGATTAAGAGAACAAATGTTTTTAAATGTATGGAATTAAAACATATTTTTTATTCAATATTACATTTCATGGACTATATGGTATTCTATGCTTTTGTGGCTTTCCAGGTTTTGAAAAGACAGAGAATTCCATTAAATCAATCCTGAACCGTTGAAAATCCGTGTCACGAGTTGAAACATCAAAGGCTATTGCAGGAGTCAAAAATGATTTAAGAGCTTAATTGTGTTTGTTACTCCTTTAAACATACACATATAGTCCATGAAATGTAATATTGAATAAAAAATATGTTTTAATTCCATACATTTAAAAACATTTGTTCTCTTAATCTTTTTTTTGAAGATTTATTATTGAAGAGAAACGTGATGAAATTAACGACATTTTAGAATTTGAAATTTATAAAAAAGTCGAAAAAATAATTTTTCGTAAAAATGATATGGTCGTAAAAATGAGAGTTCGCAAAAATGAAGTTTCGAAATTTTAAAATTCGTTATTTTAATAGGCACTCATTTTTTGTGTGATTATTCAAAAGTTCATTTCATTTTAGTTTATTTTATTAAACATTTATTAATTAAGCAATTTTTTAAGTGGATTAATACTTGCAGCGAACTTTTAATCTGCAGTAATTAAATCACAATTATAAATAATTATTTGCATTTGTTTTATCTCGCTTCATTTTTACTTTTTAACGTACTTTTAATATTTGAATGCCTATTATAAATTCCCCCAATTGTAAACCCAACTTAAAGGATGTGAATAATCCTTAGTTTTTACTTATATATCCTTTTGCCATGAACAAAAAAATAATAAAAATACTGGATATGTCTTAATTAGATTATCTAAGAAAGATTTATCAATTAATTGTCAAAGGTTCAAGTGCAGATTTTTCTATATATTTTTTTTTTTAATTTTTGTAACACTTTTTACCTGAAATAATTTTATTTACAAATTCTTAGAATTCCAAAAAATTCCATTTCAAATGTTTCCACGTCTAAAACATTATTTTCCGAATAATTGTTTTCCAAAAAAATCCGTTCCAAATAATCCAGTTTGAAAAAATGTCTGGTGCCGCAAGAAATTTAAGAAAATGACCATTTTTCCTAGGTTTTCCAATTTTGACAGCTTCAAAAGTATTAAAAATTTGAGAATTTTGGAAAATGACTTTCCATCCCCCTAATTGCTTATGTTGTGTGATCAAATGGCAAAATAATTATTTTCCGAGACCCCTATGGCTCGGCTGTGACCCTAATCATCAAATTTGTAGACCCAAAAAAGACGTTTTTTAGCGTTTTGAAAAATTTTATATACGAAAAATCCAGCCTTCTAATACACACATTTTGGTACCCTTTGAGATTTTTGAAATGAGTCCTTCAGGCTGTATTAAAAAAAGTGTGTTCTGACCAAAACTAATAACTTACACGCTTTTTGCGTGGAACTTAAAAATATTACTTTAGTCCCGCAAATTAATAAATTTGTGCAGATTCTGCATGTTCACACATGATATCTACGCACATAAATATCTGTCACACATTTTCATATGTGACACAAAATAAAAACAATAAATATGTGCGCATATGAATTCTGCCACACATTGTCCATATGAACATCCAAAATGTGTTGGATATGTGTAAATATTCTGTAAAATAAAATATGTTTTAACAACCCTGGTTCTTATTCTTAAACCAACAATAATTTGATACTAAAGTTTAGATTTTATAACGAATTCAACAATTTTTTTCTTCTCACGAATTAGGAAAATAAAGGCTCATTTATTTAGCTGATATGAAAAAATTGTCAAAGAATCGAAGAATCTCCTTAATTAATGCATAACGACGAGAAGTATTGCAGTATGTTGATAGATCAAAGTAAACTTTATCATCAAGTGCCTGTTATTTAGGCACAGACATAATCGTTATCTTTAAATTTTTATTTTTTGGTTGATTTTGACTCAGAACTAAAATAATCTGATAGATTTTGGCCTAATGCACTAATTAAAACTAATAAAATGAGAGCCGACAATAGAAAATTTTTAGTACAAAATCAATTCTTTCGAAGTCTCGTCTTGATTTCGCTATCAGAAAAGCCAATTAAATGGGTAGTTTTTCCCCGTTTTTAGCGCATTTTTGAAAACTTGTTTTCGAAAAGGGAGCTCAATAATACACTTTGTTCGTTCGTTCGTTCGTTCGTTCGTTCGGGCAAGCATAAAAACTTTGCAACCAGACATCGTAGAGAGCTCGGATTTGTTTTATTAGCTCCGTTACTATTGTTTATTGTCCGATCGAACAGTTAAAAGTCTTCAAGCAGTGTATTTATGCTATAATTAATGAGTTTTTGTTTTGTTTTCAGTGTAACCTGCTCAAATTTTGTTTTACCTCTATAAATTCAAATTTACCTCTATAATTTCAAATTTTTTCTAGCCGTTGTAAAATTTCAAATTTTAAAAAACCGTTAAATGATAAACTTTTTCTATGTGGAAATTCATTGCAGCAAATTATTAATTATAATCAAATACTGATCGCTTCGTCAAAAATGCGCTGAAGTCCCTCGATCAATAACACGAGGACTTTTGTAATTTTTTCTTCATCTACTCAACAAAAACTATCAAAAGACTTTTAAAAATTGAAATATAAAGAGTACTCCATTTGATACAGTCTTACTGAAATTAATACATGTTAAAACTGGATTTAAAAACTAAAACATACTTGCTCATTAAGTTCAAGTTGAAGCTTCAATTCAGCTGTATCTTCTTCATCTGAGATTCCTTCATCTTTTTCCAAATCATCTCGTCTGTACAAATGTGGACTAAGCTTACGACCTTGAATTATTTTAAATAAATAACATAAAAATATTTTGAATCTTGTTTAAACTTATTTTGTAAAAGGTAGGTTAACAATGCACTTTGTTTACCAAGACTGAGTGCTCTTGTCGATAAACTTCATTTTTATTCTCTTCATTTATGGGCAATTCAATGAAACGATTTTTCTACAAATTATTCTCAAAAATTGATTTTTACATGTTTAGACTGTTCTACTACAAATAAGCTTTTCATAAGCTATTAAAAACAAATCAATCTAAAAATCCCTAAAATGCAGCTACCCTAATATGCAAATAGTACTGCCAAGATGAAGATGGTACTGCTGAAGTGTAGATGAAATTTATTTTCCCTAAAATGCAGGTGAAATGCTGCTGCTTTAAAAAAGTTATAATGCAGATGATTTTTATCGTATAAAGTGCAGATAAGATGCTGCCCAAATGTAGATCGTATAATTTTATTAAAATAAAGATGAAATGCTGTTATAATGTAGAAAATTTAACGTTGAATATTAATTATTTGGGCCCCGACGAAAAAAAATTATTCCTGATTGACGTTGTGGTTTCTTAAATATCTCCGAAACCTTAATAGCGACAAATTTCAAAGTTATTTTATTTTGTAGAAAACAAAAATGGCTTTCTTTTGACATAGAACTAAATTCCTAAAGTTAAGGAGTTATGTCGGAAAATCACTTTAAATAAGCGTCACTCACGAATAATTTTTGTGAATTTCGGTTATAACTTTGTCAACTTTCATTGATATATCTACATTTGTATTTTTTATATTCACACCGTTTTGACGTGTGAATCTATTGGTTTTGTTCAGATTGAAAAATCAGTTTTTCGCATTTTGTGAGAAAACGAAGCAAGATTGGTTATAAAAAGTCCCAGAAGTAACGTTTGCGCCTAAAATTTTACATCTTTTGCAAAAATCAGATTTCAAATTGGTTGCAGCATTGCTGAGAAAATCGCAAAATATGCTTTCTTTAAGCAAACAAGCAAGCAAGCAAGTTAATTAGCAAGAAATCTCAATAACGAGACCTCGTAGAAACTTCTAGTTTTATACATTTGATCCGTGCTGCTTTATAGAAGAGCTGAAAGTTGTTTTTGGGCAAGATAGGCTGTTCCCTGCTTCATAAAAGGCAAAAAACTTTAAAGTGTTAAAAAGTGTAATCGCATGCCCATTAAAATTTCCAAAAAATTAAAACTTTTGAATTTTAAATAGATTTTATGATCATTTGAATGCATCTCTAATAAAGCTGCGATAAAATATATCATTATTTGAATTAAAAATTATAGTTATTAATTTTTTTATAAAAAAAATATTTTAAAAGTTTTAACAAAAGAAAAAATATATCAAATACCTAGCCTGACAAAAAAAAAATCAAATTTTTACGTATAATTTTAAATAATTTTTGATATGAAAAGCATAAATATAATCTTTATACAATATAACAAAAGTTTTCATTGTAAAATTTAAAAGTTCAGACAAATCAAAAAAAGAAAACAAGCGACCAAAAAAGGAGCAAATAAAAAAACGTTAAAAAACTTTTTAAAAAACACGCTTTTTATCAAAAAGACTAAAAACCAAAAAGTTCAAAATTAAATAAGATCACACTTATAGCGAATCAGGATCAGTGTTGCAAATGTAGATGTCTACATGAGATGAAGAATGTAGATTCTTCAATAGTTTTTGTCTAGCGAAGAAACTTTCTTCATAAAGATCGATTCTACATGTAGAAAGAAAAAAACCATCTACATGTAGATTGTGTCTACATGTAGAATCTGTCTACATGTAGATTCGATGTAGATGTCTATAATTCTACATTTTTTCCAGGTCTACATCAGAGAAGAATGTAGAATCGTAGACATCTACATTAAATCTACATGTAGACAGATTCTACATGTAGACACAATCTACATGTAGATGGTTTTTTTCTTTCTACATGTAGAATCGATTTTATGAAGAAATTTCTGTCTCAGAATTTATCTGATCCAGACAAATAGCCAGAATGCAACACTGATCAGGATTTTAAAAATTTTCTTGTGACAAGAAGAAATGTAACATGAAATTTTTTCAAAATATTGTGATTAAGTCCAAGAACACAATGACTTTAAAAGCGTGAGGCTTTGAGATTTGACGTTCTCTTACTTAAAAACATAGCAAAACTAAGAAATTGTCCTTAAATAACGCCCCACGCTTTTAACAGTGGGAACAACGGATTTTTCAAATTTAAATTCAATGAATGTCATTTATATGTTATGCAAAAATACGTCAAGCCTTTAATAAATAGAATAATTAACACAATTAAATTGGTGTAGTGTTATAAATATTGTAATACATTTAAAACAGCATAATAATAATAATCCTTTATTTAATTAATGATATACGTCGGAACGAACTGAATTTATCTTGATGTTAACCTCGTCGGTTTTAAATCAAATGTAAAAATGAAATGTGATTATTGATATGACATGAGTTAAGTTTGAACTATTGAGATGCGGTCAAAAAAAAATTAGCAAAAAGACCAAAAAAAAATATAATAATAAAAAACTTAATTAAATACAAAAAAAAATAAAACAGCATAAATTAATATTAATATTAATAGTTATTTTGCATTAATTCGTAACGGACTTGTGTTTAACGGTTTTTTTGAAAATAACTTTAGCTGCTCAAATTTATGCTTTAATTAATAATTAGTAATATTATTTAAACTATAAGGAATCATATAAGGGCGATTCTACGAATGATTTTTTCTACAAATTTGTCTCCAAATCTATATTTCTCTTTATCAATTGCATTACTCCCCATGTTTCATGTATTTAATAGTAGATTTTACCGATATCTACATAATTTTCTCACCCAAACATATTAAAAATGGTTAATTAAAGAATTATTTACATTCTACGAAAAATTACTCTGTTTCACATGAATTTTTTCGCCCAAATTTCCAAAATGTTTTCATTAATATCTTTAAGGTGGTAAAATTTCCAGTAATACTAAGTATACAAAGTTATAGCTTAAAGTAAAAGCTTCAAAACGATGTCAAAATCATATTTGTGGAAGCCTTAATTAAGCTGCAATTTGGATTGTACGAAAAATTTCATAAGTGAAACAGAGTAATTTGGAGACAATTCCAAAAAAAACTACCAAATATTAAAATTAAAACCATGAATTTCTCAATCCATAGCTAAGTAATTTGAGTGCAGATGTAATCATAATTCACAGTTTAACCAATAGAAAAGAAAATGAGAATTAGATTTTTGAAAAACTATGCACAAGTGAAAATAAAATAATTAAAAAATTTCATGCAATTGACACGGATTATTTTCATGAAACCTTTTCGTAGAATTGCCCATAAATGATTTTTGAGCATTTCAAGTATAATATTTTAAACAAATCAAAATTTTATATCATTGACATTGGATTTTTTCCGATATAAAAAAGTTTTACTTAAATTGTACTATAATTAAGCATTTTTGTGGTTCCAAAATGTTAAAATATTGTATTGTGACCGGGAATACGTGTGCATACAAAATTTGAGCTCGATTGGAGCAATAGAAGTGGTCGAAAAATCGATTGCAAGATTTGAACGTGACATACAAAGAAACCAACAGAGCAACTCAATAAAAAGCGTGTAATATTGATATATTTCGAAAAAATTTAACTTTCTCTCTCTGTTTTCAACTTTTATTTTTTTTTATAATAAATATCCCTAATTTTTAATTGAAAACTCTTATTTTGAACGTAATAACCGCAATTTTACACCAGTTTCTGAATTACAACTAATCCCGGGATTGAAATTTTGGGCCAGTATTGAAATCCTTAGTCGTCACACAAAATTTAAGTCTATCATAAGAAGAGAAAAGAATCTGAATATGATGTAGTTTAATAAAACTATACGATCTACATTTGGGCAGCATCTTATCTGCACTTTATAGTACTATCTGCGCTATATATCCTAATCAGAGAAAATATTATTAACAAAAGTAAAATTTGAGTTTTGAAAATTATTTCTTCATAGATTAGGAAAATAGAAATTGTGTTGTTACAATATTCGCAAGTCAATTTTGCATTTTGCAGTCCTTTAATAAAATACAAGGAATTTTATAATTTAAAAAACGTGATTAAAAACAAATCTACGAAAGACTTTTTTTTGTCAAAATCCAATTTTTTGTAAATTTCTCGAAATTGCACTATGGGGCAAAATTGAAAAAATTACAGAAGTCCTCGTGTTATTGATCGAGGGACTTAAGCGCATTTTTGTGTTAGCGATCAGTATATGATTATCTATTTATTTTGCGTTCATTTACAGATCATTAGAAGATCATCAATTAGCAAATATTTATAATGAATGCTTATATATAAAGGCTTTATTATTTAACGGTAAATAAACAATTTGAAATTTTCCCGCTAAAAGTTGCACTACGAAAACATTACTTATTATTTGAGATTCAAATTTTCTAACGGTCAGTAAGTTTCTGAAAGCTTCCCGCCAAAAGATACACAAAAAATCATTAATTATAGTAAATTTAACAATTTAATATCTTTCATTCTCATATATAAATTGTTTATCATTCAACGATTTTTTGAGATTCAAATTTTGTAACGGTCAGAAAGTTTTTGAAAGCTCCCGCTAAAAGATATACAAAAAATCATTAATTAAAGTATATTTATCAATTTAATATCTTTCATTCTCCTATATAAATTGTTTATCATTTAACGGTTTTCTGAAGTTCAAATTTTGTAAAGGTCGTATGCATTTGAAAGTATGTTGCCAAAAATTGCAGTAAAAGCATTAATTATAGTATAAATAACAGTCTGTTGCAAAAAAAAATTTCATATAAAAAGGCTTGGTAATTTAACGGTTTTTTGAAATTCAAATTATTAGTCTGACAGTGTAGAAGTTCCCATCAAATGTTCGGATAGTGTAGAAGTTCGAAGTGTAGAATTCTAATTTTTTTAGAAAATTCATTAATTATAGCATAAAAACACTGTTTTAA